GAATGGGAATTGTGGTCGTGATCTCTGCAGCTGGCGCCCCGTGCCCGCGCGTCGGGCGTTTCGGGGGGGATGAGTCCCTTTGGATGGGAAATGGGAGGTCTGACAAGTTTTCTCGGGACCGTTATCCAGCACGGTGTAAGTTAAGGCTCTTATTAGGGAGTAAAGCAGGAGTCATTTATCACAAGACACAATCACAAGTAGTAGTGATCACAAGCAGTAGGGTATTCCTTCTGGCTGAAATTGGATTTATTTTAACATGTTGAAAGCTTTTATTTTCTGCTTTTAGGAAACACAGTGTTTGGATCATAAAGGTGCGTGTAGGAAAACGCATGCAAATTTCAAGGAAAATTGCATTTAGCCTAAATAGTGTTGACAAATTCAGTGAGCTGTATTGAAGATAAACAGATTTACGTGGAGATCGGGTAAGCAGGAGCGAGTGACTGCTACCTCTGTATTAGTGATGCTGACCTTTAGTCCACATGTATAAAAGATGGGAGATGTTATTGCCAGGTGCTCAGAAATCTTTGGCTGGACATAAAAATAGTCAATGCATTTAAAAGGCTTGTGATTCACGGAGCCCGCTGCGCTGTTTGGTTTACTGACTCATTGGGTCTGATCCTCTAGGATTAACTGTTTAAGCTCTCCTGGAGCCTTGGGGACTATAAAGTTGCATTAAATCATACTCAAGATTATCTTTGGGGAGTTTGGGAGCTCTGGGGTATTTGTCTACAAATTTGGGGAGGGAGGGAATAATAGGAGAGGTCCACGTAACGCTGTGCTCATGTCTGTATCCAGCGCTTGCCTGGACATCGTTTCCATGTGGATGCCATGCATTGGCAATGGTCAGGTGTGTCTCCATCCTTACGTTGGGGTGATCACTATAGGTTTGACTTGGTGGGGTAAGACCAAGCTGAGTTGTACAATTCTGTTTCGGCTTCTTTTAAAGGTGGATTTAATTCATGCTAGAAAGCTGCTGCCACTGGTGAAACGGTGCTGCAGCCCATGGAGTTCCCCTAGATTTGCCACCTGATAAAATTGCTGCTATTACAGGAATAATCACTGTGCATCTTTCGTAACATACAGTAATTACATTAGTAATGCTCAGGGTATAGTGTCCATATACAGATGGTTAAAATGGATTTTTGATAGCCACGGTGCATCATATTCTTGAAGGTGGATTGCTTTTGGGGGCTTCTTTTTGGTTTTGACCAAATAGCTGCAAATACCTAGTTTGCATTAAGACCTCTTTTTTTTTTTTTTTAATTCTCTCTCTCCCCCATTTCTATAAAGATCCAACATAGTAATGGGATTTTTGCTGGCATGGAAACTTTACTCTTATACTTTTCCAGGACACATCCCATTTCCCACAGTCCTTGGGACACACGATGGTTTCAGATTGCACCTCTTGCCCCATACACCACACTGCTGGGGCAGGTACTGTATAGATATAGGGCCGTTATGGGGTTGCCAGTGCCGGAGGAATCCAAAACATTCTTCTGTCACTCTGAAATACTGAAATCCTGGCAAACTTGGATCTAATTTAAAGCACCGCATCTGAGATGAGAAGTTTCTGAAGCGATAGTCCGTGAAACGAGATTGCCTCCGCAGGGCTGGTTTTGAGCTGTCAGCTCCCACTCGCGTGCGGGGAAGACGGATGAAGGGTTTTTTTCTGTGCGAGCGGCTGCAGCAGTTGCCATAGGGATGCTCCGTGGGCAGGAATGGGAAGGGGCTGACCACGGCACCGACCACGTAGGAAAGCATCGGCCATTCCCGAGGAGGGCTTAGGAACGTGTTGTTTAGGTGGGTTTGAATGGTTACTCATAGGCGAGAGCTGGTGTTCTCCCTGAAATCCCCGGCTGTGGCTTGGCGACCCGCGGCAAGGAATCCCAGCTCTGGTCCTGCGGGGGAGAGAGGGGAGCGGAGAAAAGGCCACAGGAAGGAAAACAATAGGGAAGTGGAGGGAAGAGCTTGTGGGTTGAAAAATAGCAACACTTCCAGTAATGTGACCTTTTGCAGAAAACGTTTCCATCCAAAAAAAAAAGTCTCCTCCTCCTCAGAACAAGCCGGGCGTAGGGTGGGGAAAGCATGCTGCTCTTGCATGCATACTGCGCTCCTGCAGCCTGCTTGGGGGGGGTCATACCTGACGGCGCGGGAGGCAGCCCGTGCGCCCTGTGGGTGCAGGCAGGACCTGCCCGCAGGGTGCTGGGCAGGAGGGTCGGCGTGGCAGGGCACCCGGTGTCTGCTGCGGCCGTGGGCTCTGTGGGCGGGTGGGTAGCGTTGCTTTCCCAGCCTTGAAGGAGTGCCTGGGCACCCGGGGTTTCTGGAGGAACCACCCGCTGTGAGGTACAGAAAACCACGGCCCCTCTTCTCCAGAAACTTTACGGAGTTCAACTCAGATAGTTTTGTCTCTATAGGCCACCCCACTCCTTTTTGCTTCTTTATTTTCAAATAAAAGCAATGGGGTTTTTTTTTTACTGATTTCCAACACTAAGCTATATTTCTCTACTAAACTGTATTTCTCTGCTTTTGAAGAAGTGATGGTGTTCTCCCTGAAATTGGTCTTGTGTAGACCAAGCAAAATTTCTAAATTCATCTCTTGGTACATGATTTTTTTTTGTTTGTTTGTTTTCCCCCTTCAGCTCCAGCAGCATTGGCCTAGCTGTGCTTTTTAAAACCCCACCACTTTGCTCAACATCCTCCTTTCCAAGGAGCTGCCATCTAGGATGGAGTTGCCTTTCTTGTGGTCCCTGTCCCTGCATTGTGGCCTTGCCCTTGCAATACATTTTGATTTACATGGGGTCACCTTACAAAACACCCCCGATTTTTCTGAATTACTCCGCTATTATTTTTTAAAATTTTCTTTTTCCGTGCTTCATTTAGCTTTAGATTTTACCAGCATCAACTTCTTACGCATCAGTTACTGGCAAAAATAAATAAATGTGTAGCATTTGGGGAAAACCCTGTGAAAACTCTTTCTCTGAGATTGATGATACTAATGTCCTGATAGAGTTTGTAACGTTATGTGTGGGCATTTGCCGCCTGTCGCTGTGGCTCTCTCCGGAGGGTGGCACAGAAGGGTGATGGCAAAGTGGTTTGTGTGATCGAGGCTACGTGCCATGTTCAGCGCAGGGTCCTCATTTATTTCTAACAATTTACAGTTGATTTCAGGTGACCTCTGAGGACATGCTGCTTGGAAGGACACAGTCAACTTGTTCCGCACTCCTGTCTTGCATCCTTGAGGAGGTGGCTGAAATCAGACCTAGGGTTTAACGATCAGGCTTGAAGTGAAATACGAGTTTAATTTTTTAAAGTGAAAGTTCCTCTTCAAGTAATGTTTCCACAGGTGACATACAGGTGGTGAAAGCTGACGGTCCGTCTTAGTAAAACTTTTCCTTAAGCCTTTTGCAGTTCGTAAACGTTTTCCATGCTTTTTTCTTTTGAATTGGAGTTTACTTCACCAGCTTGTTTGTAGGCAGGGAGAAATTAACGTTCGTATAGTAAAACTGCCTTTGCTCTTGCTTTGTAAGGATGTCTGTCCTGCTGGGGCTGGCCTCGTGGTGGCTTATACCGATGGTTTTGTGGTAGGGCGGCACCTCTACCCCCATGAGATCTCATAGCCTTCCCCGCACGTGCAGGAGCCCTGCATACTCCTGGGCAAACCCCGGGTAACCCTTTCATGTGGAGTAGGTGTCTTAGCAGATGTGTGACTGATCCAGCTTCAGTGATGCTGCTGATGCTCCCTCCCAACCTTGCACAAACACATCTTAAATATTAAAAAAGAAAACACTAGATAAAATAAAAACCCCAACCAACCAAGGGAAAAAAAAACCCTTTATTTTCCAATTTTTTTGAAGCTCAATGTTTTTGAAGGGTTAGCCTCTTTTATTCTGCAGATGATGTTCATTCAGAGGTATCAGAAGAGTTACTGAGTGATTTGCCCTGTAGAGAGAGGCATTAAATGTGGCAAGTGTACAGAGTACACGTGAAACACAGAACGGTCATTCAGGTGGAATTTAAAAATCTTTAGTCATTCATGGTATGGCAGTAATTTTTTTTAGCAGAAACAAGCTGAGTTCAGTTATTGCAAAGGTGGTTTTTTTTAGATGTCTGTTACTGCCCTTTTTTATGACAAGCCCCTAGTCTTCAGGGAGATGCTTTTTGTGTAAGCAAAGAACTGATCTTTACTACACAGATAATCGAAGTGATAGATTTCCGTTTTTTCTTCTCTTAGCATACATCTCTTGGTACACACTACTGTTCGCTACCTTAGTGTTGGTTGTGCTTCAGGTTTGTCCCCTTGGAGTTTGAACGACAGAGGCAAGTCTTGGCATAGTCACCATTTGGGCACCTGCGTCCTCTTGCTGCCTGCTCTGCAGCATCCCCGCGCTGCCTGCGAGACGCGTTTGCACCTTTCTGGTGGTTGCAGTGAGGAATCTAGTCTTGTCACCGAGGCACTTAACAATTTTTCCTAGATGCTTCATTACCCGTTTGCTTTTGGCTAAGCTCCTTTCCAAAACTGGTTATAAAGGATACAGTACGTAGTGTTTTTCTGCATAAGTTTCTTAAAGTGGGAGCCTCGTGTTCCTGACCATAGGATTCCATCACTTGATCCGTTGTAAGTCAAGGTTGATCCTTTCTGTGAAGTCTTAGATTAATCTTTATCCTTCTTATTTCAAGTGATGCTAGAAGAGTGGAACGGAGGTGTATGTTTTGACTACACAGATGTAGAATGGTATCAAGAAGGGTCACGTGTGATGCGTTGAAGTCCTTTGCTTTTAGAAAACGCACGTATTTGTAGGAGGTGGTGGCTGGAGGAAAACTTCTTGAACTCTGAAGTCCTGTAGTGCTTTTTTACCATTTAAAAAATGGTGCGAGTTTAATGGTGCTGCTCTTGATTCAATCCATGATTCCTCAAGGTCTTTGCTGGACATAGTATGAGAAATAGACCCCTGTGTGAATGGGGAATGCGCTCATCTCTCCTCTTGTGTTTCACGTTGTAGTTGATGTGACCACAGCACTGCCCTTGCAAGTTGCGCCGACTTCAGTCCCGATGGATCTGCGCTTGGACCACCAGTTTTCCATGCCCGTGACGGAGCCGACGCTGCGGGAACAGCAGCTCCAGCAGGAGCTCCTGGCACTCAAGCAGAAACAGCAGATCCAGAGACAGATCCTCATCGCCGAGTTCCAGCGGCAGCACGAGCAGCTCTCCCGGCAGCACGAGGCTCAGCTGCATGAGCACATCAAAGTAAGTGATGGGCAGCCCTGCGTTGGGTGGTGTGCGAAAGCATCCCCTCACCAGGAGGAGATGCACCAACTAATTTATTTTGGGGGTGGAGATACTGTGCTGGAGTTGGTAGCCCCTGTTTAGAGAATTATCTTTTGTAAAGGGATGCGAGCACCAAGATTTAGAAGGGTGATAGGGTGGAGGAGAGGAAGCAACATAAGTTGGTGTCATGTTAAACGTTATCCACCCGACTGTGTGTATTCAGAAGTCCTGTGCCCCACTGCCAACAGGTGGCTTGCTTTCCCTGGGTTGGGGAAATTTCAGTAGAATTTAACCCAAAAGGAGGGCTTTTAGGTTACCTGTTCCTAATATCACATATTTGGGAGTAGAATGGCATATAACTGCTGGCTGGACATCTGCTGTCAGCGCAAGGTGCAAACCAAATGTTTGGACCTTAGTGTCTCTGTAGGAATAGGAAACGCAGATGCAGTGGGTGCGGGTAGGTCTGCACACCGTGAGATTTTTTTTTGGAGTTGCACGGTGCAAGTTAGGCACGGGCCGGGGTGCTTTGCGCTGCTCTGTCGCACGGGACAGAGAGGAAGTGTAACGCACAGGATAGGTAGGAATTACAGTTTAGAAGATGGCTGTTGCATAGTGAAAACGTTAGACATTATATAAATATTTCACAGTGATAGACTATTGCTATGGTAACATAAGCTTTCAGAATTGCTAATATGCTCTCTTTTCAAAGGGGGATTAGCGCTGCGCATAGTAAATAGCGTTAATGTAATATTAAAAAGCAACCTCAATTCAACCTTATATAACTTTCATTTTAATACAAAATACATGTCAGAGTGGGGAAAAGAGAATTAAAAGTTAATGGTATATTATTTACAGACTTTTCAAACACAGATATGAGCCTGGCTTTGTAAGAACAGTTGCTGTTTGAAGACTGATTAACAGTCCTTAGTGGGTCCTCTGTGTTCTCTTCAGGACAAAGGTGTGGGGAGGTGCATGCGTGTAAATTCATTTATGCATACACTCATATGTATGCATAATAAGTGTCTATATGTGTGTATATGTATGTAGTTATGTATGTATACACATGTGTCTATATGTACGCATTTGTGCATGGGTAGCACAAGAACAGTTGCAGCATCTGTGGTTCACATAGTACATTCAAGAGGAAAGGATGGGAAATATCTGTGACAAATATTTCCCTTATTTCCTTGTAATTGCATGTGCCTTTGGATATTTGTCTATTAAAAATAAGAAAGGGTTGTTCAGATTTAATGGACGAACTCTGATAGGAACATATTTGCTCTCATTTATGTTAAAGTTATGACTGATTCTGGTACAAGTCTGCGTTAGAAGGAAGTCGAGATCTAATTTTGAGAAGCCAGTTAGTACAGTATATCTAGACCATTAGGTAATGAAGTTCTTCCTCTAATGTGTGAGCTTGGCTAGATGAAAAACTTAAAATAGGAATGATATAATCCTGTGTGAAAAAGGATGACCTGCAAGGTGATCTCCCATAGTAGTAAGTGTGTCATCGTGCCTAGAATTGCTTTAAAAATAAAACAGCACATTATTGAAATAAACCCCATGATATCTCACAAATAAAATAAACCCAAAACCATACACTAACGTGTCATTATGATGCACTTTTTTTGGGATAACATACTTCTTATGTTTGTGTTCATAAGTCAGCCCACATTTAGATGACTCTTAGATTAAACCAACTTTCAGAAACTGGCAGCTGTGTTAAGTTCAGTGACTGTAGGTGCAGGGAAGCTATTATTTTGTCCAGACAACTAAAATTTATAACCTCATTTTTGGACTTTGAACTTCAAGCTGTTCAGGTCCTTTATGGCTCATGAAAAAAGCAGGGGGGAATTAAAGCAAATAAAAAACTTCTCTTCTGTGTAAGTGAAGCACTAGGGTTTAAACTGTGAAATTTGGTATAGAAATAGTCCTAAATGAAGACGCAGAGCTCTTTTTGGAGGAATTCAGATGTTTTTTAAAAATCAGCTGCTCAGGGTGTGTAGTAAACGTCCCATGTGCACACATGCATCCATGCACACCACGCTCCTCCAAGCGTGCAAGGGAGGGCTTGCTCTGGCACGTACATTGGATCAAGGGAACGCTTCCTACTGCTTCTCTCCTCATCTTTTAATGCCATGGGCAGGGAGTACAAACTTGCCTGTTTTGTGAAAGGTCTAAGCAGATGTGCTACTACTCTGGCATGGGGAGGAGCCGGAGTGGGGATGCAGTCTATCATCTTTTCTGTTTACTCAAACACTGAATCTTTAGACTAAATACATGATAGAAACAGCAAATTCTTGACATCCTCTTTGGAGGCTCAGAATAAGTTAGCTTCATTTGGTGATTGGCTTATGGCGTCACTGATGAGATTAAGAATTTCATTAGTCTCTTGTCTCCAAGCGAAGTGTTCAATATGCAGAAATAGTTTAGACTGAGCGATGTAGTTGTGAGATTCTTCAGCTGGAAGTGTTTCGTAGCCTGAGTTTATGGTATTGTAATGAAGGTGTCACGAGTCCATCGCTTGTACAAACTTTTATTCTCAAGTTTCTTCCTCAGGTGGAAATGAAGTCTCACTTAGGGTAAGAAAAGGCTTGGGAACCTAAACCTAGCCAGATTTCTGTTCATTAAGATTATATGTAATGACTAGAGTGAGCTTGCAGCATGCCTTACTGCTGCACCAGGTTTGGTTCTTGGACATCTTCAGTGTCTTCCCTGACATTGGGGTTTTTTGATTCAGAAAGCAAACCTTCAGCAGCTATTGCAAGGTCATTGTGCACCTTGCAAACTTACTTCCTTTCCAAAAATTTGGGGCTCCTGCAGTTTGGTTAGAATTTTCAGGATCAGAACAACCTCAAAATCTAATGAAACCAAAAATTAAACATGGAAACGTCAAAGCTCTAAACCTACTCTGATGTCAAACAAAATGGCGGTTCTTGTGACTTTCTCCCTGGCACCGGTTTCCTTTGAGGTGATCAGGGCTTTCATTAGTCATAGTATTAAATCTTGCAATTGATTTGTAAACTATTTCTGTGAAGTGGGAAGAATTTCTGCATCTTGCTATGTTTTGCATATCTAGCACTATCTAGAATCAATTAATTTGGCTTTTTTCATTACAGCTTAGCATCCACCATTCTAATCAATGAGTGCAAAGCATTTATTTGTTCGTCTGTTTGTGTACTTGAGCAGCAATTTCTGTGCTTTATCTTGACTTATGCCTGTTTCTAAATCCTTTTGCTTACAATTCCTAGATTGTAAGCATATTTTTGGATATAGCAGACCAGCGTCTGGGTATAGTTACATACGCAGAGCAAACATTGCATTGGATCCCTCTTTTGGCAAGAAGATTGGGTTCAAGTACCTTTGCACTCTTCCACTTATAGATGTTGAATAGTTTTGTTGACAGGAATTCAGTGGCTGAGCATCTGCTGCTAAAAGTAAAAAAATATTTTTGATGCATTTCTGAAGCAGCTGTTGTATCCAAAGGGGGGGAAATTCTGTATTTTGGACAGACATAGGTACAGCCAGCATTGCTAAGTTACAGCCAACAGCACTTTGAGGATTTTAAAGAGGCTTACTCATTTTAAATGTTTAAACCCTTAGCTAGTACAACAGGAATCACGTTTTGTGTTTTTCTTTCTTTTACTACTTTGGTGTCGGTGTGAACAGAGGAACTGTTCTGACTTGATGTGAATTAAGAGGGGGGGAATATCGCTCCCTTCCACCCCCCAAACAAAGCACTGGTATAAGAAACATCTTAAGGTCGTCTTAAGGAAATGAAATTTGGCTTGAAAAATGCTGGCATGTCTTTCTTGTTTTTCTATTCAAGTACATAACTTTTTCCTATTGAAATCTGAAGTTTTGGTATTTTCCAGAACTTGGTTTTACTCCAGCAGCCCACTTTTAATCGTCTGATCTAGTGCAAGAGGAGAAGATGGGATGGTGGCAGTCCTTCTGCCTGCATGTGCAATCCCTTCCCTTGTCCCCCCCGAGCAGTCCTTGCTTTTATAGACATTGTATTTTGAAGAAATGGCCTCCACATAAAGGTGGCAAATTCCAGAAGATCGTGCAATTTGGAGAGCCAGGCTACGAGTGAAATAATATTTGTGGAAGGGAAGTATAATGGACACAGGTAGAGCTCAGCGCACGGAGGGAGTGGGATCATTGCACATGGGGAATAACGAGAAAACCCTGACATGTTTAGGGAAAATAAGCTAAGCCTTAGGAAGACTTCACACCATATGGAAATAGACAAAACTGTCTTTCACAACTACAGCGCAGCTTTGCAGATTGCCGAGGTTTGACATCCGAAAGCAGCGCGGGAAAGGAAGCTGGAGCTGGTGAGCACCGGAGGCTGCTGCGGGCTGGCTGGAGGCAGAGGCGACAGCTTCTCTCTCCTGTAGCCGCTTACCTTCAGCGAGATGGATTTTCCACTCAGGCGTGCCTCGCCAGATGTGTAACAATATTTATAGCCTTCAAATCTGCCTTCCTAAACAAAAACAAGGATGGAATAAGGAGCCTGGCGCCCGGGCCGTTGCCGGTGAGATGGTGGAAAGCCTCTCCGCAGGTCCCAGTGTGAGCTTTGCTTGACCTTTGATTGCGAAGGAATCGGCAGTGAATTTTTTCCTTTGTGAGTCACTCATTCCCAGCCAAGATCAGCTGGAAGTTACCAAAAGCTTTTCCATTTGCCTTCTGGTCAAGGGCCGGAGCGAGATGATTGAAGAGGGGCAGGATCCGCACTTTGGCAGGGCGAGAGGCACCTCGGGCGGTGTGAGCTCAGCAGAGAAGTGAAGGACGTGGTGGGTAATGCGGTTAATCTCTTCCGTCCCTGCGCTGCCCGAGCTCGGAGCAGGGCTCTTCCCAGCTCTGGCTGTTTTATAGCTAAAGCCGGAAACTTATTCAGGATGCTGACGCACGTCAGCATTAGCACATGACAGCAGACACCAGAAGAGTCCTGGTGGTGATGTGATAGCAACATA